CTTGTACTACGCGTTACCGCAAATTGCGGGGTGGCTGATAGGTAGGGTTGCCAACTTATTTTGACAAAAAGAAAACGTATTAATTAATATACAATAATACCAGCTGCTGAGTTTCACCACCATACCACCCGCCAGAAACTAAAATACCATCCTGATCATCTGGACGAATGGCGGTCCTCCACAATGCGGTTTTCTAGAAACTTTTGCCACGCACAACCACATTCTAGAATCACCTTCCAGCAATGGTATTTCCGAACCGATACGATATTGAAACCTTCAAGAAAAGAGCTTATTCCTTTTTAAAAGGCCGACAACGTACTTGCAATTCCCCTGTTGCTGCGGGTGCTCATGGGCGGCGGTAATCACTTACCATCAGGTGAGTATAATTACCAAAAATAAAGTAGGATATTTTATTGTAAAGTAGGTGACAACCCTACCAGTAGGGTTGTCACCTACTGGTAGGCTATTGCCTCCCTCCGCGTAAGAATCACAAAGAAGGCCCCATAAAGACGTTGTGAGACTCCAACGAACTGTGGCCGGGCTCTTATTCATTTTCTCTAATGAGGTGAACACAAACCTAATTCTATTTTTGTGGAACACAATATTGATATCGTTTTTGTAACCGTAAAAGATTTTGCGAGTTCACAATGAGTTTCTTTGAACATGTGCCTACATGAAACGACAATTAACCTAATCTTAAGTGATGTAGGGACTGGTCTGCTCTGATGACTAAGGCTGGGGTTTCACCGAAGAAACTGATCGCGTTTAGTTCGAACTGAACGCCATTAAAACGTTCAAACGTGTTCAAAGCCGTGTAGCGGTGAATTTTGCATTTCACCACTACAAATATCGCTAAACATGTTTATAAATTCTGAAGTACCGATTTAGTACGATTGAGTCTTTAAACGTATTTAAACCAGTTGTTAGTTATCAAACAGTCATCATTATAAAATTTTAGACAATATAATTTCAGGAATAAAAAAAAAAATTACTACGCCAGTAGTGTAATAAAGGATTTTTTTGCATAAGATTTTATAATAAACTGCCAGAATCTGGATTAAATCTGACAGAGAGGCAATTCAAATCTTATATTAAACAATTTTTATGTAAGAAAGCCTATTACAGGATAGACGAATTCATAGATGACAACATATCAAGTAAATAATTAGTTTATTAGCATACAACGTTATAATTTAATTTTCTCATTGCTTTCTTGATTTAATTGATTGATTTTAGAAATATGAAAGCGTAGCGGTTTTTGTATTGATTGCCGCATGCATTCTTATGTAAAATGTGAATACTATAACTATCACATGGCAATTGTGAGTAGCTTTGACGTGGTCTAGTGTTTTGAGTAGTCATGCTCACTAAAATGTCCAGACTTGTGGCGGCGTGGTGGGCCGGGTCATTGGGCTCCCTAAAATATGGTCGAGCGCAGTGATGGCTGGCTCATCCGTCATACTCGTGAACGGGTGCTGCTTGTAGGGACTGGTCTGCTCTAATCACTATGACTGATTTCCTCTTATTAATTGTTTAACCAGTTGATTATATATTCAATATTTTTTCTATTTCAGTATTTAATTGAATTAGTGCTAATTGGTGGTTTGTATTCACACACTTAAACTTAAAAATGTAAAGTAATAATAAAATTATTTAAAAGAGCAACACGCAAGTTTCTTGCTCGTTCTTCTTGTGATGAGACAGCTTTCCGAACGTGCGGTAGATTAAAAAAAATGTAATGACTATTCAAAAGTGCTTCAATGTAAGTTTATTTGAATAAATGATTTTCTATTCTATTCTATTCTTTTACACTACTGGCGTAGTATACAATATAATCAATTAGGTTGACCTCTACATAACACTATCTGGAAACGATCGTGCTTTCTGGTGAATTCATCATGATGGGCTAACTGACCTAATTTCCTGCTCATCTGGACGACGATACAGTCCATGGTGCCCCATCTGTGTAAGCCGGTAATACAGGCACGAGCACCATTCTATTATCACACGTTAAAAAAACTGAAAGTCCATATACTCTAGAACACTCTCCCTTTTTTAGAAATCGGTTAAATAAACAAACCAACCACTTGGTGCCCAGGACCGGCTGCAATTTACAAGTTTAATTCCCAAATTGGACTGACCGCGGCGCGAATTGGAAGTTAATTTTTACACAAATTATTGCCCATCCTGTCAAGCCAGAATACAGCGAATGATGTACGTATAGATAAAGTATAACTTTTACAACATAATACAATAATAATAATAATAACACACACCCTGGACTTCAGGTATCAGACACAGCACTCACGGTATCCGTACACTTATTGACTATTGTTGCTACTGAACTTTGCTTGAATTTATTTATGACTGGATTCCACGCAGATGATAATTTTAAGCCATCCTCTCTGTTGAAATTGGGATGTTATTTAATTTCTATATATATAGTTGAATGCTAATAATAATAATACAATAAAACATACATATAACAATGTTTAGTTATGAACTTGAAGTGATTGTTGACCGACGACCTCGGTGGTCTAGCGGTCTAGCACACCGCTTTACGTCCGATGGTCGCGGGTTCGATTCCTCGCACGGTACAAACATTTGTATTCATGAGTATGATTGTTTGTATCGGGTGTTTTCTATGTATAATATGTATGTACCATCATGTACCATCTTATCATGTACCATGTGTGTGCCATCTACCTCTTCTGTGTATGTTAGTCCTATCTTGCAGGTTGTCTGTAAGAAATTGCTTATAGCGATAAGACCGCCTTTTGTTCATAATTTTCTATTTATTGTTTTTCTTTTTCTTATTGTATTTCTTCTATGTGCACAATAAAGAGTTTATTATTATTATTATTATGTATTTACGAAAAAAAAATATGTATGTATTTGTATCAGTTATCTAGTACCCGTAACACAAGCTTTATATAGTTTAACTTGGGAGTAGATGGCTCTGTGTGAATTGTCCTGAGATTATTATTACTACTTTTTACAATCACTTTCACACATCCTGATTTTTCTCTGCAAGATCGTTGTATAAGATAAACGGACGACAGATGAAGCAGTAACGAATAGTAACTTGAATAACAAAATAAATCAGACACAGTTATCAGAGCAGACCAGTCCCTACAAGCAGCACCAGTTCATGAGTAGGTACAACTATTAATTTCATACCAAAGTTAGGATTTCCAGTTAAACTTTGGAAACAAGTTTTCCGATATAGCTTTGCTCGGAGTCTATTCCGACTGATCTCAAATGTTAGATATCTCAGTTTCTGCAACACGATTATACATACAGTACAAATACTGTTCAACATTAATTGCTTGGTCCTTATACTGCGATATCAGTATTATAAGATATTTGGGTTACAAATTCAGATAGCGCTCTAATGAAACAGTCTTGTACACGTACGCGTATATGTTTCCATAATTTAGTAGGGCGTGATAGGTCGCCCTAACAACGAGATGGGACCGCCCTACACTACCTTTTTTTTCGGACTCTAATGCTGTTGACCGCAGCTGGCCTTTACAGCTTCGCAGGACGATAGGGGACGAGTGCAGATGGCATTCCAAACCCGCGGAAGGACTTATGGAGCGGCTGAAGGCCAACTCCCGCCTGACGGATACGAGCTGACCTTCAGTTTAGGGCACCGCTAAGGGTTTGAACTCGGTCAGGCCATCGTAAATTTGATCCCTGTTTGAACTGAACGGGGAATCGATCGGAAAGGCAAGCACCATCCATAGGCCGTACCTTCGCCTCCACTTCTTTCCATGTAAAGCAAAGGTTTAGTCTTTGTGATTGATGAGATTTTTTAAATGTTACAAAAAGCATCCGAAAATATGTAATACTAGCTATTTACCGCGAGTTCGTCAGCAGAATTGAAGTTGTGATTTCATTAAACAAACAAATCTAAAATAAAAGTAGCCTGAGTTATTCCTTATAACATTAGCTATCTCTGAATGAAAGTCCATAGTTTTTTTTATGTAAGTACCGTATATACTTTCATACGCAGTTAGTGAAAACTCGTTAGATTAAAGGTACCAACATACATTTAATTTTTTTTTATAGTATACTAGCTGTCCCGCAAACGTTGTTTTGCCTTTTTTTTTATAACACAGGGGACAAACGAGCTTGCGGCTCACCTGATGGTAAGTGATTACCGCTGCCCATGAACACCCGCAACTACAGGGGAATTGCAAGTACGTTGTCGGCCTTTTAAAAATGAATAAGCCCTTTCCTGAAGGTTTCAATATCGTATTCGGTTCAATACCATTGCTGGAAGGTGATTCCACAATGTGGTTGTGCGAGGCAAAAAGTTTCTAGAAAACCGCACTGTGAAAGACCGCCATTCATCCAGATGATCAGGATGGTATTTCAGTTTCTGGCGGGTGGTACGGTGGTGAAACTCAGCAGCTGGTTTTAACAAAAAAAAAAAATTATGGGTGGACTACCCCTAACATTTAGGGGGATGAAAAATAGATGTTGGCCGATTCTCAGACCTACTCAATACGCTCACAAAATTTCATGAGACTCGGTCAAGCCGTTTCGGAGGAGTATGGGAACGAAAACTGTGACACGAGAATTTTATATATAAGACTAGTCTATCATTACATAGTATAAAACAAAGTCGCTGTCGCTGTCTCTCCGTCCCTATACATGCTTAAATCTTTAAAACTACGCAACGGATTTTGAAGCGGTTTTTAATAGAAGGGTTATATGTATAATACACGTACACCCGTGCGATGCCGGGGTAGGAAGCTAGTATACAAATAAATAAAATTTGTGTCTGTTAAGAAGTTGAAGTTCCTTATGCTGCTTAACTTCATCATCATCAGCTCACTGCAGTCCACTGCTGGACATAGGCCTCTCTCAATGCCTGCCACTGGGCACGATCTTCAGCCCTTCACATCCAGTTAGTACCCGCAAGCCTACGTAACTGCTGCTCAACTTAATCTATTAGAAACAAGATATCTATAGAAGAGTATAAATCTCACCAGCAATGGTATAGGCGACCACTAGCACGACGATCCCCACGTTGCTGAAGAGGAACGCGAGCAGTTGCCTGATGTAGCCTCGTATTCGGGACGCTAGGGGGCGCCTCCGTCGCGGCATCGTCACGACATCGTCACGTCACCGTGGCGGAGGCCAGGTCCGCCGTCGTGTGCTCATCAACCCTCGCACGTCTGATGGTTCATAGCAGCAGACCTGGCGAGGACCTGGAAAACAATCAGGTCATATTTATTTATTTACTACATACACATAAAATTGGAGTGTCTGTTTGTAATATTGAAATAACCGTGCATGCATATACATGCATGCATATGAATATAAATACGGTACATATACCAGAATAACATTTTTACAATTTTTGTCTATCTGTCTGTTTGTTCCGGCTAATCTCTGAAATGGCTGGGCCGATTTTGACGGGACTTTTTTGGCAGGTAGCTAATATAATAATGAGGAACTTAGGCTACTTTTATTATAGAAAAGTAATTAGAAATTAGTAAAAAATTGCTGTTCGTTAGTCTCACTAAAACTCGAGAACGGCTGAACCGATTTGGCTAATTTTTGTCTTGAAATATTAATTGAAGTCCAGGGAATGTTTAAACGGTGATAAAAAATGAAAAATGCATGTAAAAGAGTAAAAATAACAATTATATTTTCCCATACAAACTGCTGATACCTGTCAAACAGGGTGCGTCCAGAAATTTATGGTGTAACTAAACTTCAAAAAACCATTGCAATATTCAATTTTGAGGCGGTATGCAGTTCGCGAGGTCAGCTAGTCTTAAATAAATATTTATACGTTTATTTTTGTCAGTAGTCAAAAATAGAAGTTCACCAAATAATATTAATAATTATAATAATCTCATGACAATTCACACAGCGCCATCTAGACCCAAGTTAAGTTAGCTAAAGCTTGTGTTATGCGTACTAGATAACTGTTACATATACATAGATATTTTATTTTTCTAAATACATACATATTATACATAGAAAACACCCAGACCGATACAAACAATCATACTCATGAATACAAATGTTTGTGCCGTGCGAGGAATCGAACCCGCGACCATCGGTCGTGAAGCGGTGTGCTTAACCGCCAGACCACCGAGGTCGTCACCAAATATATCAATATAATTTGTTTTCAGAATATGTTTGTCACAGAAGTACTGTGACAGAAGTCGACAGGTGTTTGGATACGAGCCCTGTGTTAAAACAATACATCAAAGTGTCCAATTTATGAAAAGAACAAAAAATGTCACATCTTTTCAATTAGAACAAAACAAAAAAGCAATCCAAATATAGGATTAGAACTTAAGCTAGGATTTATTTTAAGCTTAGTTTAATTTTATACTTGTTTTTTCCTGACATTTTCAACATACCACCTCTACAATTTTATTCTTTTTAAACAATACCTGTTCCTGCAACTTCATCCGCTTGGAATTTAACTTTATTTTCTAAAATAAAAGTAGTCTAAGTTACTTATTACATCACCTACCTGCCAAAAGGAGTCCCGTCAAAATCGGTCCAGCCATTTCAGAGATATGAAAATAACATTTTTTACAATTTTTGTCTGTCTGTCTGTTTGCTCCGGCACATATACATGTACCGTATTTATATTCATATGCATGTAGTAAAAAACGGATATTTCAATTTTACAAACAGACACTCCAATTTTATTTTAGTTAGTTCAGGTTGCGACCACTGATTAGATTATTTTTATATAGCATATGCTGGTGGTCACTCTATTCTCCCAAATTTGAATTAAAATGAAATTGTATTATTGTAAATATGTACAACATTAAAAAAAATAAGAGCTTAGTTTCTTGTCAGTTCTCATCTCGAAATCATTCCAAACTGACGGTAGATTTGACATATCATAAGAGTCTGTAATAGACCTACATGAATAAAGATATTTTGAATTGAATTTATATGTATAAATGTTTTGATTTTGTTAATGTCCTTTCTATGGTGGTGCAATAAATGATTATAAACTGCGCCCGCGACTGCGTCCGCATAAAATGACAATATTTCCATATACCCTTTTATATCCCCCTTCAACCCCTTACAAATCTTTTTTCGCATTAAAATGTAGCCTATGTCCTTTGTCAGGGTCTAGACTATCTGTGTACCAAATTTCATTTAAATCGGTTCAGTGGTTTCAGTGTGAAAGCGAGACAGACAGACAGAGTTACATTCGCATTTATAATTTAACTAGCTGTCCCGGCAAACGTTGTTTTGCCTTAAAATAAAAATAAAATATTTAGGGGTGGACTACCCCTAACATTTAGGGGGATGAAAAATAGATGTTGGCCGATTCTCAGACCTACACAATACGCTTACAAAATTTCATGAGAATCGGTCAAGCCGTTTCGGAGGAGTATGGGAACGAAAACTGTGACACGAGAATTTTATAGAGAAATGGAAAATCATTTATTCAAATAAACTTACATTGAAGCACTTTTGAATAGTCATAACATTTTTTTTTAATCTACCGCTCATTCGGAATGCTGTCTCATCACAAGAAGAACAAGCAGGAAACTTGTGTGTTGCTCTTTTAAATTTTATATATAAGATTAAGGAAGTAAGAAGAAATAAACGTCTACTTTTAAGTTCTGTTTAACATGTTACACATTATGCATAAATAAAAAAAAACTCATCATAAGTAGTTGTAAGGCCAGCTGTGAATATAAACGTAGGTACTTTGATGTCCGACTTGTCTAGATCATATGAATCATCAGCAATTCGCGATAATTCGTCATAGAAGATTATTAAGATAAATAACATTGCGAAATTTCTTTGGCTGGTGGACGCGTGTCGCTTCAGTTGAAATGTTGAAATGCAGTTGACAACCAACATTGTTTACGATACTAGTACTTTATATTTACACTAGCTACTCGCCCCGGTTGCGCACGGGTGTACACGTATTATACGTATCTAAATATATATAACTAAAGGTTAGCTGACTGATATAGTGATCTATCAACGCACAGCCCAAACCACTGGACGGATCGGGCGGAAATTTGGCATGCAAGTAGATGCTATGACGTAGGCATCCGCTAAGAAAGGATTTTGATTAATTCTACCCCCAAGGGGATTAAATAGGGGATGAAAGTTTGTCAATTTAAAACCGATCGGGCTGAGATTTTGCATGCATAAAGCTACTATGACGTAGGCATCCCCTAAGGAAGGATTTTGATAAATTCCACCCTTATAGGGATAAATTAACGCGAGCGAAGCCGCGAGCAAAAGCTAGTTGTGGGTATAAATACGTAATTAATAACTCTATGATTAATTATACAAATTTAGAATTTTAGTTGATGTACAAGTTTTATAATTATCATACACTAGCTGTAAAGAGTAACTGTTTGTGTTTCTCACTGTAATCTAATTATAAAGCATTCAAAATCAATTAAATTAATAATAAATTATAGACCCTGTTGTTGGGGAGTATTATGGATTTCTCAGTTGGTTATTATGGTAATTCTAATGTAATTGTGGATGAATGAAAATAATTTGCTTCCGTATATTGTGAAAAGATCAATTGCAATGAAAAAACAAAAGAACAGCGACAGGAACATTCAAGATATATGACGAAATATATAAAAAAGTATTAACAAGGTGATGTGGCGAATTTGCTATCATCATGTGGCAACACCGTTGCTGTACTTGCAAAATAACAATCTGCTTGCAATTCTACGCTTGTTATAGTAGATACCTAGCAAGTATTACGACACATCCTCAACGGCTGATTTTTAATTTTATATAATTGCACTTACGGATCACACATCGATCCGAAGACACCTATATAATTGTAATAATTAATTTTTAGAATTAAATTTAGTTTACTTATAAAAATTGGTTTTTTTTGGGTCTTCCGCCAGCGACTTCAATAACTCGCTAGTAAATTATTTTGCCACTTCTGCATGTGACACGTATGTATATTTGCATAGTATAAAATTATGTCGCTTTCGCTGCTGTTCACTTATATCATTCAAATTACGCAACGAATTTTAATGCAGTTTTTAGCGATACATAGAGTGATTCACGAGGAAGTTTTATATGTATAATACATGTATATCCGGACCAAGGCGGGGAGTGTAGCTAGTAGAGTATAGAGAGAATATGTGAGCGGTGACCACGCTGTAATAGAAATAGAAATAGAAATAATCTTTATTCAAATAAACTTAATATAAGCACTTTTGAATAGTCAAGTTTTTTTATTCTACCGCTTATTCGGAATGCAGACTCATAAGCAAGAAACTTGTGTGTTGCTCTTTTAAATAAATATTGATTTACTTATATTTAATTAACAACAAGGATTAGGCATGCGGCAATCAACATAGAAACCGCTACGCACTTAATCTCTGTTCAATCAGATAACATTGTCAGCGCTATGAATTTTAAGTTAGATATTTTCTACAAAAACATTATTATCATTTATAAATTCTTCAATTTTATAATAAGTTTTTTTAAAAAGAAAATATTTTATATGACACATTTGAATTTTTTTCTGGCAAATTGACTACAGACTCAGAGAGTTTATTGTAAAACCTTACGCAATTTCCATAAAACGAATTACTGACTTTCGTCAAACGGCACTTAGGTAAAACTAGTTTGTTGACATTACGTAAGCTTTTGTTAGTGTAATCACCTACTTTTTTAAAAACTGTTAATGTCTTTCCTGGCATACATAATATTTTCGTAGATATATTAAGAAGCAACGGTGAGGATATCTGATTCTTTAAAACATTCACACAAAGACTCCCTAGAACCCATACCGCTGTTGATTTAGTACAAAGTTTTCCTCTAGTAAGAACTATTATATGTAGCTCGAAACATTCTAATTCTCATGTTAACATTCCATTATTTGTATATACAGTTGAGAGTACGTTGCCCAGTAATAATAACAAGTTAGGCGATGCAAACGCTCATAACAAAATATCGGCCGAGCCATTGGGACACAACTCAAGAATAACAAATAAAAGATTTATTAAAACTACAAGTGGATAGCTTCGCTAAACGCTAAACGCTAAACATTAAATATTTGTGTAACCCTGCTCGTATCTGGCCTCTGTGATGGTATGTTTGTATAGGAAAATTAATGATATTGTTGATATCTCAATGTTTTAAACTATATGTTTATTTCTAATTGAACTAATATATTAGATTAGTCAAATTCTAATGAAAAAAACTATTTTTATTATAAATA